TGTTACATTTTGGCAGAAAGACCTTAGACAGTGGTCTTTCCCCACTGTGCCTTGGCAGTAGCTGCCCCAGGCTTTAGTGCATCCCTCAGCATGTAGTCCTGGACCTTGAACTGTGCTAGTCTGAAACACTCAGTCAGGGTCAACTCTTTCAACTGGAAAACCAGCAACTTTCAGGCAGCCCAAAGAATGTCTTTCACCACATTGATGATCCTTAAGATGTTTGTCTTGGTTTGTATCCCAGGGAATAGACCATAAAGCACAGAGTTTTGTGTCATGGAGCTGCTCAGGACGAACCTTGACAGAAACCACTGCATTCCCCCCCAGACTTCCTTTGCATAGGCACATTCCAGAAGGTGTTTGACAGTCTCATCCCCTCCGCAGCCACTTCAAGGGCAGCGTGCGGTGGCGCAGAGAGTCCGGGCATGCATAAAGGATCGCACTGGCAGTGCCCTTCTCACTACCAGCCAAGCAATGTCCTGGTGCTTGTTGGAAAGTTCTGGTGATGAGGCATTCTGCCCAATGGCTTTGACAGTCTGCACAGGAAACCACTCAACAGGATCCAACCTCCTTTTCCCAAAGGGTCTCGAGGACGGTATGTGCTGACCATGGCCTGATGGACTTGTGATCAAAGGTGTTATCCTTCACAAATTTATCCACAAGGGACAGTCCAACTACTTGGAGCGTTCTGCAGGAACAAAGCCAGTCCCATCCTTTGTAACACTGGGGACAGGTAGAACCTCAGTATGTAGTGACACTTGTGTTTGTGTACTGAGGGTCTATGCACAGTTTGACGAAGCCAACAGACAAAGGTGGCCATTAGGGTGAGTGTAGTATTCTACGCTATGCTATGTATGTGCTATGTTTGCTCCCCTCCCCCTTTGTCCAGTTCTTTATACATAATGTCCCTTCGAACTTCCATCTTCGACCTCCAAATGAAGTCGAAGATGGCCCGGGTGACCGCAGTGGCGCAGGTTCAGGGAATAGACCAGTCATGTACCATGTACAACAACACCAAGAGTCCCTCACACCTGATGACCAGGTTTTTACCTGCATGGTAGAGGGACTGGTGCTCCCATCTGCCTAGTTTCTGCCTCACTTTGGTGACGCGCTCCTCCCAGGTTTTGGGGCATGCCCCAGGCCCTCCAAACCAACTACCCAGCATCATCAAGTAATCTGAGCTGATGGTGAAGGGAGTGAAGGATTGGTTGGCCCCTTTCTCAAAGAACATGGCCTTGATCTTGCCTCAATTTATACTGGCACCCAAAGCCAGTTCGAACTGGTTGCAAATGCTCATAAGTCTGCGCACTGACAGTGGACCAGAGCAGAAAATGGTGACATCATCCATGTACAGAGAGGCTTTCACTTGCAGGCCATTGCTGTTGGGAATAGTTACCCCTCTCAAATTCGCATCCTTTCTGATGGACACAGCAAAAGGCTCTATGCAACACACAAACAAGGCAAGAGAGAGTGGGCAGTTCGGCCTGACTCCAGATCTGATTGGGAAGCTTTTAGATTCCCACCCATTGATTGAGGCTGCGCTCCTGATGTTGGTGTAAAGCAGTCAGATCCAATTACAGATTCCCTTGCCAAAGCCCATTTTGGAAGAGTACATCTCCTATGTACATGTGCGATATCCTGTCAAAGGCCTTCTCCTGGTCCAGACTAATGAGGCAGGCATCCACCCCCCTGTCCTGCACGTAGGCGATCGTATCTCTGATGAGTGCGAGGCTCTCAGCGATCTTCCTGCCCGGTACAGCACAGGATTGGTCAGGGTGAATTACCGATCCCAGAGCAGACCTGACCCGGTTGGCTACGACCTCAGACAGGATTTTGTAATCCATATTCAACAATAAAATTGGCCACCAATTTCTAATCCCCTCCTTCTCCCCCTCTGCTTGTAGATGAGGGTGATGGTGCCTTTCTGCATGGATTTGCACATGGTACCTGCCCGAAGCATACTGTTGTACACCTCCAGCAGGTCCCGGCCAATCAAGTCCCACAGAGCGGAATACAACTTGGCCGATAAGCTGTCACTTCTGGGAGTTTTATTCTTTTCAAAGGACTTGAGGGCCTTGGTCAGCTCATCCAGAGATATCGGCTGGTCCAGCCTCTCCCGCGTGCTGTCGTCTAAGAGCTCTGTGATAGAGGACAGGAACGACTGGGAGGCCGTGCTGCCTGTGGGCTTCATATCATACAGTCTGGCATAAAAGGATTTGCTGATCCTCAGGATGTCAGTCTGAGATGACATTACTGAGCCATCTTCTTCCTTCAGGCTGCTGAGCACAGAGCTTTCCCTGTGCACCTTCTGGAAGAAGAAACGTAAGCATGTCTCATCCTGCTCCACCGAGCGGACCCTGGACTGGAAGATTATCTTGGAGGCCTCGGAGGCAAATGCTGAGGCTTGCTGGCTCTTCACCTCCTGGAGATCCTCCGTGACATCGATCCCCATTGCCTGCAGGAGGAGCAGTTTCTGCATCCTTTTCTGGAGTTGTGACAGTTTTCCCCGCCTCTCTCTCACCTTCTGAACACTTTTGAGGATAAAGAACCTCTTGATGTTCCCTTCGACTGTTTCCCACCAGTTCATTGGAGACTCAAAGAAGGATTTCACAGTTCTCCAACCTGTGTAATCCTTTTTGAGCTCCGCGACGTGTTCTAGGGTCAACAGCTTCACGTTAAGTATCCATTTTCCTTTGCCAGCTCGCTGGTCATCCTGTAGGTGACAGTGGGCCAGCAGCAGGCAGTGGTCAGAGAGGAACACCAGCTTGACGTTGGTGGATCTGACCGAGAACGCTCGGGACACAAACAGGAAGTCTATCATCATCACTTTATCCCAGCAGCACAATTAGCCTCAGTCATAAAGATAGAAAAGGTACAGTCCAGGGTGTGTGGAAGGAGCAGGCTCCCTCCCTCTCTATCAAACTGTTAATGTCTATGATCTTGCCTGAAGATTAACTGCTTGGGCCTGTGAAACTGCAAAGTCACTTACCATGAGAACAGAACAGGAGAAATCAGAAGATACTAAAAGAATTTCATACTCCAATTTTATCCTAATATTTAAAAAGATAGGATCCATTTTCCTTGTTGCAATTGTGTTTGATTGTATCATACCATTTGCTCACAAATAAAGTTTCTCTCTTTCTCCCCTGTTCTGCAGCTATCAAATCTGTGAAATAAAGACTCCCTTAATCTCTGGCTCTTGAACATTTTGTTACAAACAATTCTGATCATTTTTCTAATCCAAACTGAACAAGCCTCATTTAAAAGACAACGTAATTATAACTTTTTTTATTATTATTTCATACCTAAAACCCTTTTATTTTATAACAATCAGCTCAGACTTTAGTCATGGAGATCACAGATGATCCGTTTAATTACAGTGGGATTTTTCAATATCCAACTATCACAATCTATTATTCTGCAGCAAAGACTCTCCATTCTCATCATCCCGGTTCCCAGTTGACTGCCCACTGAAGAGCAGTGACAGTTTATTGGGGGCCGAGCAACTCGAATAATCTCCAGCAATCCCTTAATCCTACTCAGAATCAAATTGAGTGCAAGAGAGAAGGACAGTGACTACACTGAGTCCCACACTCAGGTCAGTTATGAAACCATGTATTCATTTTTTTAAAAAAATTATCCTTTTAGCATAAACATGGGAATTTAGATGGTTTAACAGACATTGTAGTTTAATCAACATACCCAATTGGAACGGTTTGGAGTGAAGTTTAGCTGCAGTTTAAACTAATCTCTCTCTTCCTGCAGCCTGACCGTGGGCAGCCTCAGAGGACTCGACACAACACACTCGACTCACATCAGACAGCTACTGCCAACACCGCACACGTTTCACATCATCTATTAGATGGAATTTCTTAAATTAAGAAAACATAATCAAAACAGGGTTACATTAAAGTTTTATAAAGCATAATTTGGATCCTTGTCAACAGCATTGTGTCCAATTCTGAACACCACAGGTGTCAGGGTCTCAGAGAAGGTCACAGAATAGTTACAGCGCAGGAGGCCTTTTGGCCCATCCTGTCTGCACCAGTTCTATCACCTAGTGCCAAGTCTTCTGCCTTTTCTCCATATCCCTGCGCACCATTTCTATCGAAATAATCATCTGATCTCTCATTGGAACCTACCTCCATCACATTTGCATGCAGTGTATTCCAGACTGTAACTACTCATTGGGTGAGAAAGTTTTCTCACTCCACCCTTGCTCTATTTGCACGTCAGGTGCAGGGGGATTGGCTGGCACTGTATTTAGGACAAAGACTGCCATAGTGCCACAATGAGAAATGTGGGTGGGGGGCTGGTGGAACTCAGCAGCACAATGAAGAAAGCAGATACACAGAAGCCAGTGTGCTCCTACTCTGTTCTACTTTCTCTAAACTAACACGGTGTGGGCAGTGGCCTAACTTCACAAAGGTACAGGTTTGAAACAGAGTGAAACTCTTTCTACTCTTAAACTGAAAGCAAAATCAAACACTCCCAAACCAGATAGGGCACGTGGTTAGGTACAGAGTAAAGCTCCCTCTACTCTCATAAACTGAAAATAAAGAATCCTCTACAGTGTCCCCATCAAACATCTCAGGAAAGGCACAGCATGGGGCCATATACACAGTAAGGCTCCCTCTACTCTTTTAAACTGAAAATAAAGCCCTCTCTAAATTGACCCCATCAAATACTCCCAGGAAGGGACAGCACACGGTTAGATACCGAGTAAAGCTTCCTCTACATTATCTCCAGAAAACACTCCTGAGACAGAGACAGCACGAAGTTAGATACAGAGCAAAGCTCCCGCGACACTGTACCCATCAAACACTCCCAATACACAGACAGCATGGGGTTAGATACAAAGCAAAGCTGTCTCCATCTCCCCATGGCAATTCATGCTGGATAAACAGAAAGGTTTTTTCAGCCTTTTGTTGAATGGTTGTTTTGGTCATGGATTTCTATATTTCACAAGCTCAGGTCATAAATGTTCATCATGAGACAGATAGTAAACTGCAAAATGGACTTTAATAAACACTGGTCATTTGGTTTACAGTGTATAAAATTTCCAGACACTAATAGAAGGCCTAGTATGTAGGTAGTTTTGAGGTGCCCTTGAAGAAGAGAAGGTTGGGAGATGATTTGTTTAAGGTTTTCAAAATCATCAGGAATCTGGACAAAGTAGATAGAGAGAAAGTGTTCCCATTGGTGGAAGGAACGAGAGCCACAGGACAGAGTTATGAGGTAATTGGCAAAGAAGCAATGCAACACTCTGAAAAAGATCTTACACAGAGAGGGATTAGGATCTCAAAACTCCTGCCACAGAGTGTGGGGGATGGAGCTTCAATAGGTACCTCAACCAGTAATGAAGAGAAACCCTTTTTCAGGGAAGGCCAGGTGAGAGCAATAACCAGGTAAAGGGGCTAACAGTGACCAGGTGACCCCTGTAACTTGCCTTTTCAGTCTCATCTCCTTTGTCCACCAGCTCTGAGGTCTAGGTGGTCCTAAAGTTCTGGCCTTGCGAGCCTCCACGATTTTGGTTGTTCCCTCTCTGGTGGCTGTGCCTTCAGCTGCTTCCTTTAAGCCACCCCATAAAACTACTTTCCTGTCTAAGCTTTTGGTCACCTGTCCTACTTTCTTACATCCATCAGTGTTAAACATTTACTTTGATAATGCTCCTGTGAAATGTCTTGAGATGTTTGACCATGATGAAGGTACTTATATAAATGTAAGCTACAAGACCCTCCAATTGGTTTCAACAATGTATTTCAGCAGTGTGCTACATCTCTCCCAGCTCTCCTTCCATTGTCCGAACAAGCACATACAGCTCTGCCAGACCCACCACAGACGATACAATCATTGCAGAAAGGACCCGCTGAAAGAGAGAGACAGAGATATTACACAGAAAATAAAACCTGTTGCCCAATCCCATTAGAGATAACAGAGTGTAGAGCTGGATGAACACAGCAGGCCAAGCAGCATCAGAGGAGCAGGAAGGCTGATATTTCGGGTCTGGACCCTTCTTCAGAAAATGAAGAATATTTTCAGAATATTTTCTGAAGAAGGGTCCAGACCTGAAATATCAGCCTTCCTGCTCCTCTGATGCTGCTTGGCCTGCTGTGTTCATCCAGCTCTACAGCTTGTTATCTCAGATTCTCCAGCATCGGCAGATCCTACTATCGCCCAATCCCACTGAATGCTGCACCTCAGTACAAGCTATCACCTGTGACAGTTTCACTTATCGTGTAGATCAGACTTCTACTTGACAGAATAGAGGCTTTAGCCCAAAAGGAACCAATCACACTCTGTATACAGTTATCAACAAATAAGCACAGTAACTATAGGCCAATGAGCTGAACATCTATTGTTGGAAACGTATTGGAATCCATTATTAAAATGTAATAACAGTACATTTGGAAAATCATAATCTAATCAAGCACTGTCAGCATGGCTTCATGAAAGGGAAAACGTGTCTGCCTAATTTAGAAGAGTGTTTTCAGGAAGTCTCACCAAGAGTGGATAAAGGGGTAAAAGTATATGTGTTGTATTTGGACAAGGTACCTTACGAAAGGTTAAGTCAAAAAGTAACAGCCCATGGAGCTAGTATATTGGCATGGATAGTGAATTGGCTCATGGGCAGAAAACAGCCCAAGGGGATAAGGGGTTTGTTTTCAGTTTGGCGACCTGTGACCAGTGGGGCTCTATAGGGATCAGTGCTGGGACCGAACCTGTTTACAATATTTATTAATGACTTGGACAAAGAAAGTCAATGTAATCTACATGTCCACAGTCTCATTTCCTACAAACCGAGCCCACAAATCATCAAGTTCCAAACATTACCAGAGATTGTCCATCCCCCGCCATATCTCACCACAAACCCCCACTGAGACCCTGCCCCACTACAAACCCCCACTGAAATCCCCTGCCCCACTACAAACCCCCACTGAAATCTCCTGCCCCATTACTAACCCCAACTGAGACCCCCCACCTCACCACTAACCCTAACTGAGAGCCCCTGCCCTGCGAATAACCCCCAATGAGAGCACCACCCCGCCACTAACTCCCACTGGGACCCCCTGCCCTGCTACTAACCCCGACTGAGACTCCTCCACCACCCCACCACTAACTCCTACTGAGATCCCCACCTCACCACTAACCTAAAGGTGTTATTAAGACCGCGTACTTGCTCCATTAACATTCCATTAAGACCCATTTCTGTGGTGTATTAACCTTCCCACCACAGCAATTAGAACATAGAACACAGAACAGTACAGCAAAGGAACAGGCCCTTCGGCCCATCATGTCCATGCCAAACATATTAAACTAATTCCATCTGCATGCACATGGCCCTCTATTCTCTTCTAGTTCATCTGTCTGTCTAAATGGCTCTTAAATGTTGCTATCATATCTGCTTCCAGCACCTCCCCTGGCAGAATGTTCCAGGTACTTACAAGCCTCTGCGTAAAAAACCTTCCCCTCTCACCTTAAACCCATGTCCCTGAGTATTTGACATGTCTATCCTGGGAAAAAGACTCCGACTATCCACCTAACCATGCCTGTCATCATTTTATATACTTCTATCAGGTCACCCCTCGATCTCCGATGATTTAGCAAAACCAATCCAAATTTGTCCAACCATCCTGGTGTCTTACTCGAGGCCACGGAAATATCTACCTGTGCCCCTGACTAGAGTCCTCTATCACGACTGCTCACCTACACTTCAACACTCCCTGATCTGGCTGCTGCTGCTTTCCCCGAGAGGCCACTTCCACCAATAGTATCCAAAGCAGTGTACCTGTTTAAGAGGGGAGTAGCCACTCTGCAGTGCTTGCCCACACTTATTCATCTTCCTGGTGGTCACCCACCTCTTCTCTCTCTGTGTAGTCTTTACTGGTGGTGTGATAAGCTCACTATCCACAATGTTCTCAGCCTCAAGAATGCTCCGTAGTGAGTCCATCCCCAGCTCCAGGCGCTCTACGCAGCAAATCAGGAGTTGCAGCTGAACTCACTTCCTGCACGCGTACTCACCATGGAGACCAGAAGGGTCCCTGATTTCCCACATCTTGCAGGAGGGGCATTCCACGGGGCCGAGTTCAGTTTGAACCTTATAAACTACTGACAATAATCCAGGAACCAACTACACAACCTTATTCACTGCTCACCAACTACACAATCTTGGAGACAGTAAGGACCACAGATGCTGGAAGCTAAAGCCAATAAATGTGGAGCTGGAAACCCACAGCAGGTCAGATAGTATCCAAGGAGCAGGAAAGTAAATGTTTTGAGCCAAAACCCTTCATCAGGACTGGGCAGGTCCTGATGAAGGCTATCGGCCTGAAACATTGACTTCCCTGTTCCTCGGACACTGTCTGACCTGCTGCGCTTTTCCAGCTCCACATTTATTAAATTACACAACCTTGTCCAATCTCACAAAAATCAGATGTTTCACTCTCACTCTCTATTCCTAACAAACTACGATAAAAGTAAGTACTTTATCGCTCTTCTGACACCACACACTCAGTCTCTAGTCCTGGTCTCTGAGCAGCCAAGCCTATATCACTTTCTAAGCCGTGACATCACCTCCGGGTTCAGCTCTACTCCAGGCCACCACCCTGACTGATTCCCTTCCTACCGCTCAGACTGACCCCTCCTTCCCTGACTGAGCACCACGCCAACCCGTTACCGCTCTGACTGCCCCAGCTCCTCAGGCATTTATCCAGTAGCTCCTGCTGCTATTCACTCTCAGGTTGACTCTGCTGTGCTATGCTGTGCTGCCACTGCTGTGTGGCTCACTTTGTGGTATTTATACAATTCCAAAGATACACACAGCACAGTTGATTTCCAGTTGGCCAGTAGCGTCTGTACCACCTTTTTGAAAGAACTATTCAGCTTAGTTCCACAGCCCAGTCCCCACTACCCTGCAAATTAGCTGAGTGACTGTTCAATTGATTTTTAGAAGTTTCTCTGGTTTTACTGATACTTCAGCTAGTGAGTTCCACATCAGAATAATATTCAGCATGGAAGCTATTCTTATTTCCCCTAAATGTTTTGCCAATTTTTTTAAATTCATGACTTTTGCATATTGACCCATGCACTAAAGGAAATAGCTTTCTTAATTTTCTCCAATTTAACAATGTTCTTCCTTAACCTTCTCCCAGACCTCATCCCCATTACACTATGATTAGTGATGCCCCTCTCTCTCCTTTACCTATGAGGTACAACAGCTGCTGTCAACACTTACCGCTGCCGTGTCTATGAAGACATACTGACTTCCAAGGTATGTGCAGGCAAACGCAGCTGCCACCGTGACTAGGAAGTTAAAGACGGTAACCACCACTGCCTTCACAGATCGCACTGCACCAAAAACAGAGTTTAGGAGAATTCAACTTGGCATGAGAGACAATTGGCAGCACAAGTCCACTTCAGTAACCCTGGCAGCAGTGTCATTAGAGCAAAATTCAACAGAACAAACAGTTACTCACATCAAAGACCTCACCAACCGGCAGCAGGGTTTTTAAGACCTCACAGACAGATTTTGTTAAACAGAATCATCTCCAAACAAACCTTCCCATGTCATCACAAGCTGAAGGGTCTGAGCTCCTACTTCCCAACCAGACACAATGCGAGGTCACATTCAATTCAATCCTCACTAGTAATAGTGCAAGAAGCATATGTGACCCCTGACCAGCACTTGTCCTAATTCACCATGATCCAAGGAAGAAGCTTCATTTATTTTGATTCAATTTTGTATTTATTCAGATGAAGGATGCTAGACTCTAGGAGATGGAACACTTCCATTTCAAGCATATGGTATCAGCTAAAAACATTCAGGTCAAGCACAGCACAGGAGAAACACTGAGTGAAATGTCCTTTATTTTGTCCATGCAATACTACAGACCCAGCTGAAGAGTATGTTGGAACACAAGCAAAGGTCCCATCATTGTCCCCTGTGTGAGTTTTACCTATTTTGCAGTGTGAAATCTCAAGATTATGTGTCATGCTCCTCTTGCTCAATGTGGGAGCTCAGGCACGCGGCTGATGTCCCAAACTCCTACACATGCAGGGAGTGTGTCCAGCTGCAGCTCTTGTTAGACCGCATGATGGCTCTGGAGCTGTGGATGGACTCATTTTGGCGCATCCGCGATGCTGAGGAAGTCGTGGATAGCACATTTAGCAAATTGGTCACACCGCAGATTAGGATTGATGAGGGAGAAAGGGAATGGGTGCACAGAGAAAAAGCAGAAAGGCAGTACAGGTGTCCCCTGCGATCATCTCCCTCCAAAACAGGTATACTGTTTTGGATACTGATGGGGGAGATGGCTCTCCAGGGGAAGGCAGCAGTAGCCAGGTTCATGGCACCATGGCTGGCTCTGTTGTACAGAAGGGCGGCAAAAAGAGTAGAAGGGCTATAGTCATAGGGGGTTCGATTGTAAGGGGAGCAGAAAGGCGGTTCTGTGGTCGAAAACAAGACTCCAGCATGGTATGTTGCCTCCCAGGTGCACGGGTCAGGGATGTTTCAGATCAACTGCAGGATATTCTGAAGGGGGAGGGTGAACAGCCAGCTGTCGTGGTGCATATAGGCACCAATGATATAGGTACTAAACGGGATGAGGTCCTACAAGCAGAATTTAGGGAGTTAGGTGCCAAGTTAAAAAGTAGGACCTCAGAAGTAGTAATCTCAGGATTGCTACTAGTGCCACGTGCTAGTCAGAGTAGAAATGAAAGAATAGGCAGGATAAATGAGTGGTGTGACAGATAGTGCAGGAGGGAGGGGTTCAGATTTTTGGGACATTGGGACCGGTTCTGGGGGAGGTGGGACTATTACAAATCAGATGGTCTACACCTTGGCAGGACTGGAACCAATGTCCTAGGGGGTGATTTTGCTAACGCTGTTGGGGAGAGTTTAAACTAATGTGGCCGGGGGATGGGAACCAAATGAGGAGGTTAGTGGACAGTAAGGAGATAGCACCTAAAGCCTGTAAGGAACTAGATAACGAAGTCAGCGTGACTAAGGGGAAGACTAGGCAGAGAGCACATGATGAACGCAAAGGGACAGGTCTGAGGTGCATTTGTTTTAATGCGAGAAGTGTAGTAAGTAAGGCAGATGAACTTTAGGGCTTGGATTAGTACCTGGGAGTATGATGTTATTGCTATTACTGAGACTTGGTTGAGGGAAGGGCAAGATTAGCAACTAAATATCCCAGGATATAGATGCTTCAGGCGGGATAGAGAGGGAGGTAAAAGGGGTGGAGGAGTTGCAATACTGGTCAAAGAGGATATCACAGCTTGTGCTGAAGGAGGGGCTGTACTACAGGCCTCCCAACAGCAAGCGTGAGATAGAGGTACAAATATGTAGACAGATTATGGAAAGATGTAGGAGCAACAGGGTGGTGGTGATGGGAGATTTTAATTTTCCCAACATTGACTGGGATTCACTCAGTGTTAGGGGTTTAGATGGAGCAGAATTTGTAAGGAGCATCCAGGAGGGTTTTCTAGAGCAGTATGTAAATAGTCCAACTCGGGAAGGGGCCATACTGGACCTGGTGTTGGGGAATGAGCGCAGCCAGGTGGTTGAAGTTTCAGTAGGGGATTACTTTGGGAATAGTGATCACAATTCTGTAAGTTTTAGAATACTGATGGACAAAGACGAGAGTGGTCCTAAAGGAAGAGTGCTGAACTGGGGGAAGGCCAACTGTAGCAAAATTCGGCAGGAGCTGGGGACTGTGGATTGGGAGCAGCTGTTTGAGGGTAAATCCACATTTGATATGTGGGAGGGTTTTAAAGAGAGGTTGATTAGAGTGCAAGACAGACATGTCCCTGTGAAAATGAAGGATAGAAAGGGCAAGATTAGGGAACCATGGATGACAGGTGAAATTGTGAGACTAGCAAAGAGGAAAAAGGAGGCATACATAAGGTCTAGGTGACTGAAAACAGACGATGCTTTGGAAGAATATCGGGAAAGTAGGACCAATCTGAAATGAGGAATTAAGAGGGCTGAAGGGGGTCATGAAATATCTTTAGTAAACAGGGTTAAGGAAAATTCCAAACCCTTTCATTCGTACATACGGAGCAAGAGGGTAACTAGTGAAAGGGTTGGCCTACTCAAGGACAAACGAGGGAAGTTATGCGAGGAGTCAGAGAAAATGAGTGAGATTCTTAATGAGTACTTTGTGTTGGTATTCACCGAGGAGAGGGACATGATGGATGTTGAGGTTAGGGATAGATGTTTGATTACTCTAGGTCAAGTTGGCATGGCGGGGGGGGGGGGTGGCGCAGGGGGCAGTGTTGGCTATTCTAAAAGGGTGGACAAGTCCCCAGGTTCAGATGGGATCTATCCCAGGTTACTGAGGGAAGTGAGAGAGGAAATAGCTGGGGCCTTAACAGATATCTTTGCAGCATCCTTGAGCACGGGTGAGGTCCTGGAGGACTGGAGAATTGCTAATGTTGTCCCCTTGTTTAAGAAGGGTAGCATGGATAATCCAGGTAATTATAGGCTGGTGAGCCTGACGTCAGTGGTGGGGAAGCTGCTGGAGAAGACACTGAGGGATAGGATCTATTTACATTTGAAAGAAAATGGGCTTATTTGTGATAGGCAGCATGGTTTTGTGCAGGAAAGTTCATGTCTTACCAACTTGATAGAATTCTTTGAGTAAGTGACAAAGTTGATAGATGAGGGAAGGGCTGTAGATGTCATATACATGGACTTCAGTAACGCGTTTGATAAGGCTCCCCATGGTAGGCTGATGGAGAAAGTGAAGTCGCATGGGGTCCAGGTTGTACTGGCTAGATGGATAGAGAACTGGCTGGGCAAAAGGAGACAAAGAGTTGTAGCGGAAGGGAGTTTCTCCAAATGGAAAACTGTGACCACTGATGTTCCACAGGGATCCGTGTTGGGACCACTGTTGTCGGTGATATACATAAATGATCTGGAGGAAGGTATAGATGGTCTGATTAGCAAGTTCGCAGATGACACTAAGATTGGTGGAGTAGCAGATAGTGAAGGGGACTGTCGGAGAATGCAGCAGAATATAGACAGATTGGAGAGTTGGGCAGAGAAATGGCAGATGGAGTTCAATCCAGGCAAATGCGAGGTGATCCATTTTGGAAGATCCAATTCAAGAGCGAACTATATGGTAAATGGAAAAGCCCTGGGTTAAATTGATGCACAGAGAGATCTGGGTGTTCAGGTCCATTGTACCCTGAAAGTGGCAACGCAGGTCGATAGAGTGGTCAAGAAGGCATACTTTCATTCATTGGACGGCGTATTGAGTACAAGAGTTGGCAGGTCATGTTACAGTTGTATAGGACTTTGGTTCAACCACATTTGGAATACTGCGTACAGTTCTGGTCGCCACATTACCAAAAGGATGTGGATGCTTTGGAGAGGGTGCGGAGGAGGTTCACCAGGATGTTGCCTGGTATGGAGGGCGCTAGCTATGAAGAGAGGTTGAGTAGATTAGGATTATTTACATTAGAAAGACGGGGGTTGAGTGGGGACCTGATTGAGGTCTACAAAATCGTGAGAGGTATAGACAGGGTGGATAGCAAGAAGTTTTTTCCCCAGATTGGGGGACTCAATCACTATGAGTCACCATTTCAAGGTGAGAGGGGAAAAGTTTAAGGGAGATATGTGTGGAAAGTTCTTTACGCAGATGGTGGTGGGTGCCTGGAACACGTTGCCAGCGGAGGTGGTAGGGGCGGGCACGATAGCATCATTTAAGATGTATCTAGACAGATACATGAATGGGCAGGGAGGAGAGGGATACAGATCCTTGGAAAATAGGTGACAGGTTTAGATAGAGGATCTGGATCGGCGCAGGCTTGGAGGGCCAAAGGGCCTGTTCCTGTGCTGTAATTTTCTTTGTTATTATAGTGGCCTGTTAGTGCTGAGTTAGAGATTCACAAATGAAGGGTACAAATCTGAAATCACCATTTTTAATGACAGTCACTCACTTACCTTGTCTTCCCAAATCTCCCAGAGTGCCGTACCGGTTAATCTGCTGCAAAAAGAACAAGAAAGGGAGGTCATGAGAAGAATGTAACTTCAGTCCCAGGTGAGAGGATCCTTTTCCTACAGGTTAGCTTTGGGAGCAGAACAGTGGTAAAGTCATTGGACTAATAATCTCTGAATTCCAAATTAATGTTCTGGGAGCATGGGTTTGAATTCTGCTATGGTGGATGATGAAATGTGAATTGAACGGAATTCTGGAATTAAAAGCTGCTCTAATGATGATCACATCATTAATAAAGATAGCAGAGCGGTAGATGTTGTCTACATGGAGTTTAGTAAAGCCTTTGAGAAGGTTAGATTACATGGACTTGAGGGAGAGCTTGCCAATTGGATACAAAATTGGCTTGATGGTATGAGACAGAGGGTGATGGTGGAGGGTTTTTTTTTTGAACTGGAGGCCTGTGACCAACAGTGTTACACAGGGATTGGTGCTGGGTCCACTTTCATTTGTAATTTATATAAATGATTTAGATGAAAAAATTAGGAGGCATGGATAGTAAGTTTGTGGATGACACCAGAACTGTTGATATGGTTGACAGTGAAGAAGGTTATCTAAGAGTACAAAGGGATCTTGATCAATTGGGCCAATGAGTTGGGAGTGGCAAATGGGAGGTTAATTTGGATAAATGCAAGGTATTACATTTTAGTAAAACAAACAAGGGCAGGTCTTATAATGTTAATAGTAGGGTCCTTGTGGTGTTGTCGAACCGAGAGACCTAGGGGTTCAGGTACATACTTCTTTTTGCATCCAGGTAGCCTGGGTGGTTAAGAAGGCATTTAGCACACTTGCCTACAGTGCTCAGAGCATGGAGTATAGGAGCTGGAATGTCATGTCGATGTTGTACAGGATGTTGGTGAGGCCACTTTTGGAGTACTGTGTACAGTTCTGGTCGCCCTGCGATAGGAAGGATATTATTAAATTGAGAGGGTTCAGAAAAGATTTATCAAGGTATTGCCGGAAATGGAGAGTTTGAGTTAGAAGGATACACTGGATAGGCTGAGACTTTTTCATTAAAGTGTAGGAGATTGTGGGATGACTTTATAGAGATTTATAAAATCATGAGGGTACTGGTAGAGTGAATAACAAAGGTCTTTTCCCTAGGGTGGAGGAGTTCAAAACTAGGGGACTTGTTTTTAAGGCGAGAAGAGAAAGATTTAAAAGGGACCTGAGGGGCAATTTTTTCACTCAGAGGGTGGCTCATGTGTAGCATGAAATACCAGAGGAAGTGGTAGAGCCAGGTACAGTTACAACATTTCAAAGACATTTGGATGGGTACATGAATAGGAAATGTTTAGAGGGATATGGGCCAAACACAGACAAGTGGAACTAGTTAGGGAAACTTGGTCAGCATAGACTGGTAGGACCAAAGGGTCTGTTTCCGTTCTGTATGACTCTGACATCATAACTGCTGTTTTCATAAATGCCCATCTGGTTCACTAATGTCCTTTAGGGGAAGGAATTTCCCATCCATTCACGATCTGGCCTACGTGTGACTCTAGGCCCATAGCAACATGGCTGACTTTTAACTGCCCTCTGAAATGGTCAAGAAGCCACTCAGTTCAGAAGCAAGTATAGATGGGGAATAAATGCTGTCTTAGCCAGCCATGTCCACATCCATGAAGGAATAAAACAAAGAAAAAAAAAATCAGGTCAACATGAACAACAAAGAATTAGAAGTGTTGAAATAAATGATGACACCTGGCAGTTGACATTTTTGGTAATGCGTCTGTATTCTTCGTTAGCAAGGTTTGCTTTGATCTTTTCCAATCGGGCTATCAGCTCTGGGTTCTGAAAAAGATAGCCATGTGACATGAGAATAGGACATAATTAACATTTCATAACTTGCTTAATATCCAACAAGACAAGACTCCTTATCCAAATTCCCCATCTGCCCAATCCTGGAGGTTCCAACTCCTACTTGGTCAAGGTCCCCTGGGTATTGTTATTCTCTCACACCTCAGCCAAGTAAGTGCTCTGTGTGCCATTGGAAAGAGTCAGGGGGGTGCAGACACAAGTCTGCTCTTGACATCAGCATCCACACACGTGGACTTAGCAGAATGAAATAGCGGTTAGTGGTCAGCAGTTGGAGCATTGTGGGAATTTTGCACAGAATGTTAAGGTTGAGATCAGTTAATTCAACGCAGCCTGGGAAGAGATATGGGAACCTTTCTCATTGATAAGACAATGAGATACTGGGAATTGGATATTAGTTAAAAGCAACCTGACACCTCACTGCACTCCTGTAGTGGCCAAGAACTGATCAGTGATCGGTAGATACAATTTTAAAATTCACAATTTTATGGCCACCATTGACAGCCTTGCATTAAATCCCCAATATTGACTGCTTCAGCTCCAGCCAAAAATTAAAGATTATACTCCCACGTTCACACAGAATACATAACAGTAATACAGCAAATTCTATTGAGCAATTTAGGAGCTCAATACTTTTCAGTTCAGGGAATTTCAAGTTATTTTTAAATGATTGAGAAATCCAGGTCAAAATCCAAAAGCCACAGCACAGGTTTGTACCAAGTGAATCACTGTAGAATGAGGATGAAGTAAATTTAATGCATGACACCAAACCTAGTTTTTGAAAGACAGAGACATGAGGAATTCTATTCCTGGGCAAAAGTTATGAATTTGATAAGAGTCAAGATCATGCACAGAGATCTGGAGTTTCAGACAGTTATTGATGCAGCATCTGCTTATAACAGCATTCCTCAAAAACGGTATTCGACCTATATGAGTTCAGTTTATACAATTAATCAATACTACACGCTACAGGATAACGCAGTGTTGAGATTTCTGTTACATCTCAAAAACAAACCAACACAATTGTTTTAGATGGGGGAGGGCAGCATTTCCCCTCCCCTAAGGATGGCATCAGTCATATCCCATTCAGTATTTAAGTGAGTATACCCACCCTCTCCGGCAGTTTTACTTCTGGTGTGAATATTTCTGCTCCTTCAACAAGTTCATGCAGATACACAGGGAATCCTGCAAACAAAACAACATCTTGTATTTACATAGCATCTTAAATATGCTAATAGTGCTTTAGCTTCATCTTTACCTTTGGATGAAACAATCCAAGGTGCTGCGGGAGACAGCATTATAACACAATGAAAAATGACCAATAGCTTTGGTAAAGAAGTAGGTTCTAAAAGAGAAAAGCAAGGTAGTGAGGTAGAGAGTTTAGGTTAGGAAGTCCAATGGCTAGGGGTTAGGCAAATGACAGCATACCACCAATGGTGGAGTAATTAAAAACAGGGGCCAGTATTAGATGAGTGCAGAAATCTCAGAAGGTTATGGGGCTGAGGTGATTACAGAGATAGGGAGGGATGAGACCGTGCAAGATTTGAAAATAAGGGAGAGAACTTTAAATTCAAGATGTTTCTTAACTGAAAATCGGGCTAAGTTACTGAGCACACAGATGATAAGAGGATGGGACTTGCTGAGAATTAAGACATGGGAGGTTAAGGAACGGACTTTATGACTGGGAGTTAAGACATTGGCTTCTATCTTCCTAATATTTAATTGAGGAAACATTTTCTCATCCTGTACTAAATGTCAATTAAGTAGTTTGATAACATAGAGAAAGTAGATGGTTTAGATAGTACATCATATGGTATAAGCTATCAATATAGCTGGATAGATGACAAAGACATGAGGAAACAGGAGCGGGGAGTGCAGTACAGCCAAGTGATGTCAGGTTGCACATTAAGACCTTCAGGTGATGTCACCAAAGGCAGCATCTAGATGAGAAACTAGAGGAAGGTTGTCAAGCAAATCATGAGCACTTCGGAGAGAACACATCCCGAGTGAGACACAGCCAAAGCACGTGTGGATTTCTGCGAATTTGGAGTTGAAATTCAGTGCAGAGGGTAAGTGGTGCTTTTTCTTCTGTGGTTTGTAATTTGTAAGGACTTTATTCTCTAGTAATGAAGAACAGGGAATATAGGCCTTGATATTAGTTGATATTAAGCATTTAAACCTAAAGGTTTAATTTGAAAGGGGTCAGTCATGGCAGTGGAGCTCAAAGCCACACTGTGCTGTTTCAGTTCCCAGGACCAGCACATGTGCAGGAAATGCCTCCAGCTGCGGCTCCTGCAAGTCCCTTAGTGCTGTTCAACAAGGCCTAGAGTATCATGGAGAGCACATTTAGAATGGTGGTCACACCACAGACAGGAAGGGATTGAGTGACCACAAGGCAGAGAAAGAAGACTAGGCAGGCAGTGTAGGAGTCTCCTGTGGCTACTGCCGTGCAAAACAGACAACACTTTGGATACTGTTGAGGGGAGTGGCCTCACAGGGGAAAGCAGCAAAGGCCAAATTTGTTGCACCATGATTGACTCAGCTGCATAAGGGATAATTAAAAAGTGTGGGAATGCAAATTCAATTGTAAGGGGAATAGACAGGTGTTTCTGTGGCCACAAACAAGGATAGTATCAGAGATAGTAGGAACTGCAGATGCTGGAGAATCCGAGACAACAAGGTGCAGGGCTGGATGAACACAGCAGGCCAAGCAGCATCATAGGAGCAGAGAGGCTGACGTTATGATGCTGCTTGGCCTGCTGTGTTCATCCAGCCCTGCACCTTGTT